CTGGTGAACGAGGTGACCTTGCTCGGGTCCCAGGTGTACGGTTCCTAAAATGGCTGCCATATACACGTCCACTGATAGGAGACGCGGAAGGTATTAAACTGATCAGAACAATACTAAACACACCACTAATAAGGTTTCTCTCATGTATGGCTCCTCAAATGATGCTTAAGATTAGAAGCGGCTGAAAAGCATTTCTCACACAGGTATTAAACTGATAAAATAGTACTAAACACTCCACTCCTATCTACGGTGTCACATTGGCTTGACGGCGCGGTGCCCCAAATTTGCAGTAAAGGAGGACGACCAAGCCTCTTCTTCCCATCTCCTGTTACAAAAAATCAATACGTGTACCACGACCACTTGCCGAGCGATGGAAGGTATTGAAACTGATCGGGAATAATACTAAACACACCACTCCTACGAACGGCACATTAGCTTGACGGCGCAGTGCCCCAAATTTGCAGTAAGAGGACCGACCAAGCCTCTTCTTCCATCTCCCTGTTACAAAAATCAATGCCGTGTACACGTCCACTGATAGGAGACGCGGAAGGTATTAAACTGATCAGAACAATACTAAACACACCACTCCTATCTGGTGGCACATTAGCTTGACCGCGCAGTACCCCAAATTTGAATTAAGAGGACCGACCAAGCATCTTCTTCCATCTCCCTGTTACAGAAATCACTGCCATATCCTTACAAATTGTACAGAATGTCCAGGATAGTTTTCCAGGGACAAATGTTGTCGCCTGTTGAACGAGGTGACCTTGCTCGGGTCCCAGGTGTACGGTTCCTAAAATGGCTGCCATATACACGTCCACTGATAGGAGACGCGGAAGGTATTAAACTGATCAGAACAATACTAAACACACCACAAATAAGGTTTCTCTCCTGTATGGCTCCTCAAATGATGCTTAAGATTAGAAGCGGCTGAAAAGCATTTCTCACACTCCGAACAAAAATATATTTTTTTAACATTCTCTCCACTTTGAACGAAATGACGTTTGGGAAGAGATTAACATAATTAAACACAGGCAGTAAAAATACAGTTTTTAGCCATACCCTGTAACTTTAAAACTACACATCCCATCTTCATAATTACATATTTGGAATCAGCACACTTAAAACATAAACATAACCAAAAATCAGCCAAATCCATCCAGGGGTTAAAAAGTTAGCTGGAGGTCCCTTTATGACCGACCGCAAGCACATTTTCCTGCCCAAAACAGTTCCATAGATTTGGGCTGTGAGGTCGGTCTATTTCAGGCTGAAAAAACGACTAAGTCCCATCGCCGAATGGGACTTAGTCTCTGCAGCTGAAATAAGGCTGAAAAAAACGGCTGAAAAAAAGACTAAGTCCCATCGCCGAATGGGACTTAGTCTCTGCAGCTGAAATAAGGCTGAAAAAAACGGCTGAAAAAAAGACTAAGTCCCATCGCCGAATGGGACTTAGTCTCTGCAGCTGAAATAAGGCTGAAAAAAACGGCTGAAAAAAAGACTAAGTCCCATCGCCGAATGGGACTTAGTCTCTGCAGCTGAAATAATTTCCCATTTACTGAACCAGGTGGGAAATAGCAAGGCAGGCACAAAGGGTTTGCACCAGGTCTGGGGACACAGGGGACACCGTCTTAAAGGGGCCGTGTCCCCAACAAGTCTGGGGACACGGCCTTAAAGGGGCAGTGTCCCAATCTTCCTGATGTCCCAATCTTCCTGATGTCCCAAAAAAGGTGTTTAAAGGGCCAGCACCAGTCACATAAAGAGTCCATAAGCTAATAGCCTTACCGACAGTCTTAAAAAGGGGCCGCACACGCAAATAAAAGTGCTGCATTTTCCCACCTGCAATCTCCGGGGCCATAGTCATGCGGGAGGAGGCTGGCAAAAGAGCTTCTCCACAGCAGGAAGCAAGGGCAATTTGCCATTTAAAGGGGCGTTACAAATAGCGGATTTGTAACAAGGTGTCAATCCATATCTGCTAAGTGACCCTATGTAGGGGGGGAACAGTCCCTATTCTGCTCTGTGTCAGTGTGTATCAGGGGCTCTGAGGACAGGTGTCAATCCATATGTCAAGGTGTCAATATGTCATATGTCAGGTGTCAATCCATATTGATTGTGATTTAGGAATGTTAGGTGATTTCTGCCCTTTATGGATTAAAACCAGACTCTGTATCAACTGTGTAATTTTCCATGGGAGTTTTGCCATGGATCCCCCTCCGGCATGCCACAGTCCAGGTGTTAGTCCCCTTGAAACAACTTCTCCATCCCTATTGTGGCCAGAAAGAGTCCCTGTGTGTTTTAAAATTCGCCTCCCATTGAAGTCAATGGCGTTTCGGGCGGTTCGCCGGTTCGCGAACATTTGCGGAAGTTCGCGTTCGCCGTTCGCGAACCGAAAATTTCGGGTTCGCGACATCACTAATCCTAAACTGCTCTCTTTCATGTAGTGTTGTCCCTGCTCCCCTTAAGCATGCTACTGTCGTACCCATCCTAAAAAAGCCATCCCTTGACCCGTCTTCCCCTTCCAATTGTCGTCCCATATCCCTGCTCCTTTTTTCCTATTAACTTCTAGAAAGACTTGTCTTTACTCATATGACTCCCTTCCTAAATTCCAACTCCCAT